TCTGCCACAAAGGGGACAGGTGGGAAGTCGGGGGCCTGATGCCCAGGTTGCAGCCTCCAGAATGCTTTGCAATATGCAAAGATGTTTCAAGCTGCAGCCCTGGCTGTTTGGGGCTGGAAGCTTAGAGCTAAAGGGCAGCAAGAGACAAGGATGGCAAGGCCCTGTAACTGATACACAGGGGTCACAGAGGAGGGTGGAGGGAAGACATTCTCCCTTGACGGGATTTTTAGACTGTCCCAGAGGGGAGGAGTCTGACTGAGGCACTGGCTGAAACCCCAGTTGGGAGGACTGGAGGCTGCAGGATGAACTTGCTAATGTGGACTGCAGTTTGCTGGGCAGAAGTACGAGCCCAGTTGTGTGGGGGTTAAGCTGTCTGTGGCAGCAAACAACTCTCTCCTGTGCCAGAGTGCATTTTAGGGAGATGGGACAGACTGTTGCAGATAGAGAGAAGGCCCAGGCACCACGCACAAGCCCTGACTGTGGCTTGCAGAGAACTGTGTAATGGACTTGGCTCGGTTGGAAGCATCGGACTTGGTTGGAATGTCTGTAAGGAGGATTCTCCAAAAGGTCGTAGGAAGTAATTACAGAAGAAATCCAGCGTCTTCTTTCCCTAAAAGAGTTCAGAGCCAAGATCCTTGAAGGGCTATTGTAGGCAGACAGACATGAGCAGAGCAAGGACGATAGGCCTAGAGGAGAGAGAGACTCTGAGACATACTTCTCACTACTCCAACTGCTCTGAAGATAGGAACAAAGAAACCTGTGTAGAACTAACCTTTAATCATAACTAATTAGAAGAAATTTATAGTTTTCATGTAATAGAAGGTATAGAAATAAAGGAAAAAGAAAGTGAAGTAGACAAACTAAAAGGGTATGTGTAGTTATAAAAGGGTATATGTAAGTAACAGAGATATATATAAATTGCAGAAGATATGTGTAAATTGTAAAAGGTATGTATAAGTTACAGTGTCTGAACAAGTAAAGAAAAGCTAAAGTTAAGGAATTAAAAATTATAAAAAATAATATAAAGAAAGAAATATAACAGGAAAAAAGGAAATTAGAGTAGAAATATTTTATGAACGTTATAAGAATGCTTATTATAAGTTATAAGAATATTTATAAAAATCATAGAAAATTTATAAAAAATCTTAAAAAGAATTATAAGTATACTGAATAATAAATCTAATAAATAAAACACCTGAGTTAATCTGAAAAGTAATTATATTATTTTAAATCTTAGAACACATATACTTATATTTGAATAGGGGGTTAAGTTTTTCTTAAAGTTTTATTTTCAAGACCTGTGCGAAGTAATTAAGGAGATAACTAAGCTGTGAATCCAGCAAACAGAACCGATAAGCATGGTCAGACCGACCCCCAGGAATCAACATCAACTCGTCAACATCATCTCATCGCCTGGCAATAGCTGATGTCTACAGACCTCAGGCCTGCACATAGCTACATCCCTCACCCTAGCTCCTTCCCCTTTATAATCCTGTCCCCTACACCTTGCTAGAAGCAAGATTTAATGCTTATAAGTATGCTGTCTTCTTAATTAGACTAACCATTACTGTCATTGTAATTCTCTTTGCTTTTCTTACAGTCTACAAAATCAGAAGTCGAGCAGTGAATGACCTTCCAAAGCAGAAAGTTCGCCACCTCCCTCTGTCTTCTACAGCCAGCAAAACAGAAAGTGGGGGGAGATGTGGGGAAGCACGGGACTTGGTTGGAATGTCTGTAAGGAGGATTCTCCAAAAGGTTGGGGCCTCTGAGGGGACCTTGCTGAAGGCAGTATGTTGTCTTTTCCAAACAAGTCTGATCCCTGAGGTGTTTTGCTAGAATCTCTATGTTTAGTCTTATGCATATATTTTCTCAAGAAAGCTTACCTTGCTGATTATATCTAGAGCTTAATTTTAGTTCAAGTTGAGATGACAATAAAAGCCAAAGGAGGCAGGTGAACAGGGCTTACTTGGTGGCGATAGCCAAGTAGTGCCTTAGCCCCCCTTCCCCAGAAATGTGTGTTAGAGTCATCATCCAAACGTCGCTCAGGGTCTACCTATCAGCCCCAGCATTGGCTGAAGCCTGCGTCTTCATGGACATGACTCCAGAGAGACAAGGACGTTTTTCCTTTGTGTGGGAAGGTCGACAGTGGACTTCAGTGACTTCCCTGAGATATTTGTATAGCCCTACCATGTGTCCTGGTGGATAGCAGGAGATTTGGACACAGGGGCAGCCACGGTGCCCATGTTATGTTTCATTGTGTTGATGATGTTGTCCTAACCTTTGATCCTCTTGCGGACTTGAACCAAGCTGCCCGCAGTTGTTCACACCTATGTTGGTCTCTTAGGGAATCACTGTTGAGTGTCCAGTTCCCCACTGAGGGCCGTTGTTAGGTCCGGTGAGTTAGCTATCCTGGAAGGGGGCCACGTGGGGTTGGGCTCCAAAAGAAAAGAGTGCCTGGCTGCTATGAAGGCAGCCAACGAGGTGGGCAGAGAAGGATACCCATCAGGTTTTGGTCCCAGTTATGAAAGGAAACTGGGAGCCAGTGCTCTCTTACTGAGGGACAGTTGGCAGCTGAGTGTGCTGCCTTGCAGGACTGTGTTACCAGGCCCATGTCAGGGGTGGCGCAAACCCCACTTTGGGAAAGTGAGGGAGACCTATTGGGAACAGAGGGAAGCAGTGAGTACCAGCCCTCTGTCACACGGGTGACAGACCTCTGTGCGGCCCTATGAGACCCTGTGATGGGATAGAGCTCATGTGAAGGAGTGTGCCAGTCCTCCCAGAGAACCTGTGCGCTTTAAGGAAAGGCAAGGTAGGGGGTCCCTACTACAGGGACAGCTGTAACTGTCCGTTTGAGTACAGACACCCTGTGGTTTGATTCAGATACTGAGCAGAATAGCCCTTGGCCTTAGAATAGACAGCTGGGCCGTGTTTACACGATGAACCGTGCCGTTACCACAATGGCACAGGCAGGAAATGTGAGCTCCCCTGAGGGGCGGACCCCCCTAGCCTAAAGGATTAGGCTGGACGTGTGTATACAGAAATATCCTCAGCCTCTGTATGTGCAGGTAAGGCAACAGAGAAACTGTGCCACCCTAGCCTTCCCCCTAGGCAGTGAGGGAACGGGCAGTATAGACCGAGCCATGGGCTATGACTAGGGAAGGGCCCTGAACAACCTTCTATTCCCCTAGGGAAGCAGGTACGACTATAAGGAAGAGTTTTACCCCTTGAGACTGCCCTGGCGATGCAACAGCACCTACCAGAGACAGGGACGTAATGCCAGATGGGATGAAACACGCAGTTTTGCTCTTAAGGCCAGAGTTTTGGTCATGGCATGTTGCTGTCTGTGTTGAACTCTGTGTTCAGGGAGCTGGCAAATAGGCCCCCAGAGGGCCACCTGGTGTAAAGGGTGGAGTGCAGGGACCACAGGAGAGACGTCTGGACACCTGATAGTCAAGGCCAGTGAAGCACAGTGGCCTTGGTGTTAGTACGCCCGACATCCAAGGCCACCTGAACATGGGAATCTTAATCTGGCTGAGATGCCATGAGGAGGTACAATCCTACTGTATACTGCGCATGTGTGCCCTTCTGAAGCCAAACAACTGATGTTACCATTGTCATGAAGCCTTCTTTGTCTAGGAAGTAATAAACAGGTTACTGACCAGCTAGTCTACTAGAGAGAGAAGCTAGGAAGGGAAAAGGCTAGAGAGCTCAGACAGAGCTGAGAGGAACCCAATAAAGAAGGCATAAGGCTCAGAGCTCAGGTAGAGCTACCATGCTAACCAGGTAGGGCGTGTTGGGCAGGGGAGACAGGAGAAGCTGCTGAGCCAGAGCTCAGATATCACTATGATGTAAGGTGGTGATTTCAAAGGCGGCTGCTCAGATAATGACTGTTGGTACAGAGTCTTATGCTCGTATGTGGGAAAGAAATGTATGTACCAGGCGGTGTGGGGCTACCTGATTGGGACAATGTTATAAAGGATTGTCTTGTGTGATGACTTATGGCCACTGGCTTCTCTAATCAAGACTCATTTTTATGCACCCACAGCTTCTCATGGCTTCTCCATCTAACTCGCCATTGAGAATTAAAACGTACTCAGAGCAGCTGTGCTCTTGTTGCTCTGACAAGAGGCTAAGGGCAAATCTCTTTTGACAATGTCATGCTCAAACTGCCCTGGTGAGGGTTGTCACAGGGTTCCTCTGAGCGGGAAGGTTTCCGTGGGACTGGGGCAGGGGTCTCATGTTGGGCACTTGGGCCCCAATCCTATGTCTATGGAGCAGCTCTATTTTGACCAGTTTGGATATCAACAGGGCATAGGGTTCTGCTGCTGGAAAAACTTGAAAATCTCCCATTTGGCTCAGTGCTGTCTCTGACACTTGAGGAAACTGACTCCTGAAGCAGAGCTAGTGGCCTGAGGTCCCAGGGAGACTTAGAGACCCCGACCACCAGCCCAGTCTCTGTCCCCATGGTTGGCTGCCTCCCAGGAGATGAGAGGACATTGGAAGACATATGGGTGACACCTCCCCACGCCTGATCTCGGATGGGAGAGGCTTACGCACCTGGAAACTTTCCCCCACGTCTTCTTCAGATGATAGACAGACACACTTTGCAGAGCGGCCAGGAAGGCATGCAGGGAGGAGGAGTTCTGCACTCCTGGGAAAGAGGAGATATGGGCTGTCAGGTGGAAGCTACAGTTTAGCTTCAGTCCCCCTTGATTGACACCCCCTTCTGGTGGGAAAGATGCTCAGGGTGGCACGATTAGCAGCCAAAGACCAACTCTCAAAGCAAGGAGGATCTCAGCTCAACCCAAAGAGGGAGCCATGTAAGTAGTGAGCCTCCCAACACCGGGTCCTGGGAGTCAAAAACTGTGAGCCCCTGACAGAGAGGACCTGGAGGTAGGGCTGAGGCTTTGACCCAAGTCTCAGTCCTGAGAGCTGACCTAGCAGAAGAGGAATTATTCAAGGCTCTGAATAGGGATGCTATTGGGCCTCCCCCAACAGACCTTGGCCACCTTAATCCAGTGCTCCACCACTTTGGCCCTGTCCTGGGCCATCATGCTTGGGTCCCCAAGGCAGGTGGTGATCACACAGGTGGCCACATGATTGAACTGTCTGACGGTGGCACTGACAGTGGAGGCCACGTGCTCCTTGCCAGGCTTCCTCCTCTGGGACCAGACGGAGCCCAGGCACTGGTGGGGCAGCACCTTCTTGAATAGCTCCTGGGGAGAACGGGGAGTGTCACCAGCCCTGCCACACCGCATCTCAGGGTCCCCAGTCTCCTGAAGGGGTCACTAGACAAGTCTGAAGCTCAGGAAGCTGAGGATGTGCCTGAGCCTTGGAGTCCATGGGATTCACTCTCTGTCCACCGAGGGCACCCAGCACTAGATGACCAAGGACCCAAGACTGGTGGGGAAGAGACAGGAGCATCTGCCCCCAGCCCATCCTCACTAACTCCAAGCTCCAGGAAGTGGCTCAATTCTGCTCACACAAAGGGGGCATCTTCCAGCATCTGATCACCCCTTTGGTCTGAATCCCCACAAGCAATTTCAACACTTCAAAGGTCTTGCCTGCATAGAACTTTGTCCAACTGTCAACTGTCAGATGCCACTGGGACCCTTTGGGAACCTGCTCCTCTCCTGTCCTGCCCACACTGCACAGATGGATGAAATTGACTTTTGGATGAATTTCTTTTACAGAAATGGAAAGACAGTGTACAAACATTGATGTAAGAACTGTTGGCTCCCTGGGTTGCCATGAGGCCCACAATATGTAATTCTAGACAGTTCAAGCAATTAGACTATGGAGAGGTTTAACTACTATCACAGACTCACACCCACTGGCTCAAAACTTCACATGATGTTAAGCTAATCCAAGTTTCTGGCGTTCCATTTAAAAAATCACCGCTTGGCCAGGTCCCTTAATTAGAACCCACATTCACAAGGTTATGTGCCCTCTGCCTCTAGGACAGAGGGAAACCCTTGGGTATAGATTGTATATTACTTGGTCCATAGCCTTTAGAGCCTGAGGTCTAGCTTTCTTTAGTTACAGAATACATGTAGCTGACACCCAATTTGAGCTTGTTTTTCTTCTTTAAAAATTGTGTTTTTTGTTGTTTTGTTTGCTTGTTGTCACCAGTCACCAGCCAGTAGTAGGGTATTTTCGTGCTGCTCAGTAATGCACCCCCTTTATCCGTTTTTACCGTCCCCCACCCACCCGGCAGCCACTAGTCTGTCCTCTGCATCTATGAGGTTATTTTGTTTTTTAATTCCACATATAAGCCAGATCATATGGCAGGGGTGGGCAAGCTTTTTGACTCGAGGGCCACAATGGGTTCTTAAACTGGACCGGAGGGCCGGAACAAAAGCATGGATGGAGTGTTTGTGTGAACTAATATAAATTCAAAGTAAACATCATTACATAAAAGGGTACGGTCTTTTTTTTTTTTAGTTTTATTCATTTCAAACGGGCCGGATCCAGCCCGCGGGCCGTAGTTTGCCCACGGCTGTCATATGGTATTTGTCTCTCTCTGTCCAACTTAGCTCACTTAGCATCATGCCTTGGAAGACCATCTCTGTTTTTGGAAATGTCCAGACTTCATTCTTTTTGATGACTGAATAATACCCTACTGTATATATGCACCAGATCTTGTTTATTCAAGTGTCAATCCATGGACATTAGGTTGTTTCCACATCTGTGGTATTGTAACTAATGTTGCAATTAACAAAGAGGTACACATATCCTTTTGATTAGTGTTTTAGATTTCTACAAATAACCAGAAGTGAAATTGCTGGGTCATATGCTAGTTCTATTTTTAATTTTTTGAGGAACTTCCTTACTTTTTTCCATAGTGGCTCCATCAATTTAAAATTCTATCAACAGTGCATAAGGGTTCCCATTTCTCCACATCCTCACCAACACTTGTCACTTCTTGTCTTTTTTATCACAGCCGTGCAGGCAGATACTGTATGGTTCTGATTTGCATTTCCCCCTTGATTAGTGAGGGTGAGCATCATCTACAACTTAATTTTAAATGCTACTGTATAAGCAGCACTATATGTAAAAGTGAAACCACTGCCATTCCCATTCCTCAGGGATTAAAATTCTATTACACTAAAAACATCAATTATTTTACTTGTAAATATAAGCTTTTAAAAAAAAGATACAGAGTCACCTAGATCACTTTGGAACCAGAGCCCAAAATGTCACCTATGCATATTCCCAAAACAGCCTCAACTATCACCTCTATCCCACAAACCCTCACATCATCCTACACACAACATCACCTCCTCACCATTTCTCTCTTTCTTGGCTTTACCTTTTGTTCAGAGCACCCAGCACATCCTGATTTCGCTTTATGCATGTGCTGGCTGGTTTGACTCTTTCATGCAAACATGCCATCATGAAAAGCTCTTTGGGTTGAGCATGTGCTCCTCGTCCCTAATGCATAGGAGGCACTCAATACATACCTGATAAAGGAGCCAGGGAATGAATTCTTCTTAACCCAGGCTACAAATTTGATGAGATCACAATCAAAATTCCAAGGGAATTTGATCATATGATTCAAAATGCATACATACAAACATTTAAAATGTGTATTTTTGAAACAAATTTTATTTGCAGGAAAGATTCAACACGAATTGATTGATGTTCAGAGGTACCTATACAATGATGATCATCACAGAATTATTCAAAAAGTAGAAAACAAAATAATTTTAAGTTCATTAACTGCAGCCAAATTATATAATTTATGACACAGTATTAGAAAAGATACCAGAAGATATTATTTTTCAGAAATAATTTTAATATTACTAGAATACATTATCAAACATAAATATAACATACAATGATTTAGAAATATGGATGTGTATATGTACATATACTGCTATCATATCTAACTAATACCATAAATTACTTATGTTAAAAAACAACAACAAAAACCTACTTTCTTTTTGAAAAGGAAAAAAGGTGGGGATAAAGAAGTGTGTCCAGTATAATCCACTGGGAAAGAGGAGCGGTGGTGGTTTTGCCTAAAAGTGGGCCATTGTTTTAATTTTTTTATGAACCAAATTGTACTTGTAAAAATAAATCCCAGGCCTACAATCAAATTGCATCATGGCAAGACACTGGATTCAGAAGTAGATATACTCGACTAATTGTATCACAGAACATTAACTCTGACATAGAAATATCCCAGATATTTTTCCCTCCTTCCTGCCCACACGTGTTTTCTTGTTTCTTCATCAGACTATTCTGCTTTATTCCTTTCTCACCATACTCTTAGGACACTCAATTGCCTGGATCTCTGCTGATGATTTTATATTTATTTCTATTTCCACTCTATTCCACATCCATTCTTGAAGCTTCTTGCTATTCTGTTTTCTTTATGTTTTTCTCCTCTTTTAAATGAAATTCTAAACATAGTTGAAGAAAAATTTTAATGTCATATAAAAAGTCACAACTTCCTAAATTGTTTCAGTTCTTATAGTTTTTTCTTGTTTGTTTTTCTTGTTTTCATTGCTGGAAATGTACACATATCCAGAAAAATGTATGGTATTTCTTGTGTTACCCTTTAAAAGAATATTTTATATTCACTTACTTTACTAAACTTTTACCTAAGACTTAAGAGTTTCTGAAAAAGAGATTCTGTATTCAAACATGTTTTCCATGAGGACAAAACCCATAAAAATGAGATCATGTTAAGAATCATTTTCACTTCTAGTTTAACTCATTCAATCACTTTCTTTTGCTCAGAATAAAGGTCTGAGTGTTCCGCTGGCCAACTAGGACCCAGGCTCCAGCTGGCAGGACAGGATTTAACTGCAGGACAGAGTGGCACTTGTGAGCTCCCAGGAGCCACACCTCAGGTGTCCCTCCCAGTGTCAGGAGCCCCAGGAATTGCTACACAGCAAGGTCTGGGGAGGACCAGGCAGCCATGGACACAGGTTCTGTGGACAGACCTGCAGGGAGAGGCCACCCCTGCCATTACCCAACTCCTGCCCGGCCTCACCTCTCATTCTCGCTGAGCCGCTCCAAGGTCCAGAACCAGGCCCCGAATTGCTCCTCGGGCTCTATTTTATATTCCTGGGCAGTCTCCTGAAGCAGCACTATTTCTTTTCTTTTTTTTTTTTATTAGTTAAGGTATTACAAATGTGTCCTCATCCCTCCCATTAACCCCCAACCTCCCCCCCACACACACTCATGCTCCCATCCCCCTGTTGTCCATGTCCATTGGTATGGCTTATATACATGTATACAAGTCCTTCGGTTGATCTCTTCCCCTTATCCCCGCCCTCCCCTACTATTTCTTTTCTTATATTAAGATTCTGGGCCCAGAGGGAAGGAGAGGATGCGGACACAGCCCGAGTTGGGGTGAGGAGTGGGGCAGGGACGCGGTCCTGAATCTCTGCACACAGGGGCACCCTCCTTCCCCCTAATCCCACCGAGGCCCTATCAGTGCTCAGAGAGGGGCATCGACAGCCCTTCCTCCAGGAGGTTATCCTTGATGCGACTCCCCTGCCCCCAGCCACCAACTGGAGGGGTCTCTCACTTCTGTTATCAAACCCTCCCAATGAGTGGAAGATGCAGGGGATGGAGCCCAGGAGTGTGCTGGCCAGGGCGTCTCTGATTCTCACTCCCTCTCCTGCCCCACAGGCTGTGCCACAGCTGCTAACCTTTTCCTTTCTTTCTATGTTGATCTGATTCCCCTAAAAGGCAGACAGCCAAAGTCCATCAGAAAGAGCCTCCTGGCCGGAACTAGCCCCCTATGCCCACCCTTCCCATGGTGAACAACTGCCAGGTCCCAGGAGGGGGTGGGAAGCAGGGAAAGCCAGGACTAGAACCCAGGCCAGGCTCTGGGCTCCAGGGGAGGGGGGACGTGGGTCACTATGATGGGTAAGATGCCCCAGGTCCTAGAGGAGGCTGTGCTGAGAACTCAGGGCTCAGTACTGGGTCTCTCTGTCCCCAAGGTCAATCCTGGTCACGCTAACTCAGGCCTCAGGTCACTCACCTCCAGATCATCCTCCATCCTGGTGTCCATCACCTTGAGATCTTTAAGATATTCTCCCAGGAAGGGAAAACACTGGACAAATAGGGTGAGGGTGGGATGAGCCCGTGCTCTCAGGTGCCCCACAGGCCCTCTCCTGAAAGCCTCCCCCCCTCAGCCTCCTGGCCACCCCAGGGTTCCCACGTGGAGCAGCCCAGGTCCCTTCGGGCCTCCACTCAATTGTCCTTCCCTCACTCTCCAGGAACGCCTCTTGATCAGCTCCCAGGACCTCAGTTTGCCAAACCACTAGGTCAGTGGTCCTGGGCCAGTCCCACCCCATACCATCCTGCACTCAGCTCCCCCAGGCCCTCCTCTTGGAAACTTCTAAGGGAGGGTTTCAGGTTCTGTGGGCACAGGAGGTGGGGCTGGAGGAGGAAGGCCTCCCTCTTTTGAATTGGAGGCCTCCAGCTGGGAGGACAGAGCCCCCTCCTCTGACCCTGGAGTGGCCAACAGACAGGCTCCCTCATCTTCTTCTGCATCCTCTTTTTAGATCCTCGGTGGTAGAGCATCAGATTTGCAAACCTGGAGGCTGGGTGGAGGACAGGGTCATGGAGGTTATGCTCACCTCACCCCATTTCCCCACCACCCCTGACCTCACACCCTGGACATCTGACCCAAGTCAGCTGGTACCAGTGCCACCCGGACTCCAACACGCTCTGATTCTGGATGCCTCCCAGCTACAATGTACCCTCGGTGTGTGTGACCTTGAGCCTGGGCCTGGCCTCCTGACCGGTTCCCTCCTCTGGAAAGTGGGAGACCTCCACCGAGCTCACAGGTTCTCCTGAGGACTCAGTGTCATTCCTGTCATCAATGTTCTCACCCTCAGCCCTCCCAGTGAGACGGGGCAGGGAGCTCTGCACTGTCCTGTTCTGTCCTGAGCTCGTGACCATCCTGTGAGGCCTGCAGCAGGGGATGGACACTCCTCCATGTCAATCATGAGGAGACTGATTGGCAGGGAGTGCACTAGGGGCGCAGTGGGAAGTCAGAACGCACATCCCTCTGTCTCTGTTCCAGCCAGTGGGACCCAAGGCCAAACAGCCCTTATGTTCCCCTGGAATGTGGGAATCTCATTTGCTCTTCAGTTTCTATTGAGAAAGAGATGTATGGGAAATAATTGTTCAAACTCCCCAAGTATTTATCCTAAGGCCTGAGCCTCAGAAGTACCCTTCAATAGGCTGCAGAAGCAGCAATAGCGGGGTGGGGAAGGGCACTCTCCTTGTAAAGGACTAAAAATGGTACTTTTACTCTAAAGCCTTTGGAGGCCCAGCAGTTGCTGCAGTCCTGGGAACAAACCCCCGGGGTCTGCTATCTCCCCACACACACACCACCTTCTCTCCAGTCTCCTGAGAGTTGTCACAGTTGTGTTATCTCTTATACTTCTTAAGAATGTGAGTATATTTTCCACTGGAGAAATGAGCCTATATCTAAAAGGAAGGGGGAAAAAAGGTTTTCCCTCTATCTGCCTAGAAAGCAAAGGTTCTCTGGATTTACAAAAAATACTGGCAAGAAAAGTCAGGAGAAAAAGAATTTAATTATAGGAATGAATGAACTGAAAATAATTACAGTTTTTGTAATTATTATTCTCATGGGAATGTGTTTGTTTGCATAAATTCAGTAAGATTCTGATTTCTTTATAACAGGACATAAGTCAGTTTCTAATTGCGGTTTTATTACCCAAAACTTTACTGGAATGTCATGTCTGAGAGAGACATGCCAGACTCTGGATGTCACCAGAAACCTCTAAAGCAGTGCTTCTCAACCTTCCTAATGCCGCGACCCTTTAATACAGTTCCTCATGTTGTGGTGACCCCCAATTTCACTGTTACAAATTGAACATAATTAAAGCATAGTGATTAATTACAAAAACAATATGTAATTATATATGTGTTTTCCGATGGTCTTAGGCGACCCCTATGAAAGGGTCGTTCAACCCCCAAAGGGGTCACGACCCACAAGTTGAGAACCGCTTCATTCTTCAAAGAATGAAGATTGACTTTGAAGCTGATAAGCCCCTTGGATAAATAGCCTGGTACCTTGCTTGGTCACGTGGTTCATGGTCATCTTTCCAGGTAAGGAACAAAGGCTACTTTCCTGAGAGATGGCATGAAAGGAACCTCAAGATACCTGTCGGGACCTCAAAAACTTGAGGAATATACCCAAACCTATAGGTATTGTAGGCAAAGCCTCATGGCAACTGTGTGGCTTGGCTTCTTTGCCCTGGGTATAAACTTTCTCATGAGATTCCAGCAAAGCATTTTTTTTAAAAAAATAACCTATGTGATCAACCGTTATTCTTGTTGTCCTTATGCAAACAATCGGGCCAAATTATAACTAGACTTAATACAGTAAATAAATTGGTCTTAATTTGGCTCTTTAATAAAAATGAGAGTGATTTTAAAAAGAAAAATTGTGTTTCAACAGGAAATTATTAGAATGAATATGTTTTTTCTTCCACAGGCCATTTGTCATCATTCTTGCTGTTCTAACTTTTGCCCAATAATATGACATTTTATAATACTAATTGTCTCCACCAGGTTGCAAGCCCTACTTGCACCTAGGGAATACCATCTCTAGGCACCATTGCCACCTCCTTCTGTGCCCAGGCCTCATCGTCCCTCTGACAGAGAGCAAGGATCTCTTGGCTCTGAGAGAAACCTTCAACCCTACTCAGCAGGAAGTAGTTTCAGAAGAAATCCGACATCCCCTTTCCCTGAAATAATTCAGAGCTAAGATCCTTGAGGGGGGATGTGGTAGGCAGTTAGACAGACATAAGCAGAGCAAGAAGGATGGGCCAACTGGAAGAGAAGTCGATGGAACCCTGTGACATACTTCTGACCACTCTCACTGCTCTGAAGCTGGCAATGGAGGAACCTATGGAGAACTGAACTTTAATTCTGTTTGGAAAGAATGTGTAGTTTTGGTGTAATAGAAGGCATAGAGTATAGAGATGCATTTTCAAGGCAAGAGAAAGTGGGTTCTAAAGCTGGTTGCTTCTGAAAGTTGTAAGATTTGTAAAGAAAGGTTTGTGAAAGTTGAAGAGAAATATTAAAAGGAAATTATAGGTATACTCAATAATTAATCAGATAAATGAATCTAAAGTAAACTCATACAGAACTTGTTTGGTTCTTTTCCAGTCATCAGACTTAAAAGGGGTAATCACCATGTAGCAGGGGTGAAATTACTGGCACTATAGCGATATAACGAATTTAAAAATAAAATTTAGTATAGTATAAGGTTAATAGATATCAAGCAATTTACCTATTTAGAGGGGAAAAAACTGACGGAGGGGGGTGGGAGGGGTGGGGACCTATAATCTGATAGATTGAGCACTGGAATTAATCTGAAAAGTAATCATTATTTTAAATCTTAGAACACATGTACTTATGTGAATAGCGAGTTAAGTTTCTCATATATGAATAAGGGGTTAAGTTTTTATTTAAGTTTCCTTTTCAAGGCCTGTGCAAAGTGATTGAGGAGGTGACTCAACTGTGAATCCAGCAAGCAGAACCCATAAGCAGGGTCAGACCGAACCCCCAGGACTCAGGGCATTATCTCAGCAACATCATCTCATCACCTGATAACTAAAGGACAATAGTTGACATTAACACATCCCCAAGGCTGCCTCACCCTAGCCCCTTTTTCTGTATAATCCTGTCCCTTGTGCCTTGCTGGGGAGACAGGATTTGATGCTTATAAGTGCCCTGTCTTCTTGGTTGGCTAGCCCATATAGACGAGTAATATGGTTGAACGCTTCCTTCATTATTGGACACAGCAACAGGCAGCCTGAGACCAACTGGGGATTTCCCGATAACACAACCACATTGCCACACCGGCCAGGGAGAAATATTTTTCATATGGGAAGTAGAACATATTATCAAACAGAAATATAACATGCTTTTAAATTGTGGAGTGTATATTTACATATGTTTAGAATATCTGAAAAGATATATAAAAGTATGTATAATTATTTTCAATTTAGTATGTAGGTGATTTTCACTTATTTTAAACCTTTCTCTTTCCTACCTATAATCACGAATTATTTTTATAATGATAAAACCTATTTTTATTTGGAAAAAAGAAAATACAGACACTGCCTGAGTTGGGGTGAGGGGTAGGGCAGGGGCCTGGCTCTGGGTTTGCACAAATGGGCATCCTTCTTCCCTCTAATTCCATCCAGGCATTACCTGTGCTCAGAGATGGGCATCAACGACCTTTCTTCCAGGATATTATCCATGATGCCATCCCCTACCGGCAGACACCAATTGGCATGCTCTCCCACTTCTGTTATCAAGCTCTCCCAATAAATGGAAGATGCAGGGGATGGAGTGTGGTGGCCAGGGCTGTTCTGGTTGTCACGCCCCTCCCCCAAGTCCATCAGAAAGAGCCCCCTGGCCTGGACTAGCCCCCTATGCCCACCCTTCTCATGTTGCACTACCACCAGGTCCAGAAGAGGGCAGAAAACAGGGAAAGACAGGACTTGGATCTAGGCCAGGTCTGGGCTGCAGAGGAAGGGGACAGATCACTTTGATGGACATGTTGCACCAAGTCCCAGGGGCGGCTTTGCCAAGAACTGAAGGTTCCATACGAGGGCTCTGTGTCCCCAAAGGTCAATCTTGGTCACCCCAGGTCAGCCCTAAGTCACGCACCTCCAGATAATCCTCCATTCTAGAGTCCAACATCTACAGCTCAGTCAGAAATTTGCCAAGGAAGGGAACACACTGGGCAAACAAGGTGAGGGCAGGATGAGCCCCTGCCCTCAGGCAACCCACAGCCCTCCCCAGAAAACCTCCCACCCTCAGCCTCCTGGCCACCCCAGGGTTCCCATGGAGAGCAGCCCAGAACCCTCAGGCAGTCCCCTCAATTGTGCCTTCCCTGACTCTCCAAGACTCCTCATAATCACCCCCCAGGACTCCTTTGGGCAAATCACAGGGTCAGTGGTCCCAGGCCAGCCCCAACCCCTTATGCATCCTGCACCCACCTCTTCCAAGCTCTCCCCTTGGTCATTTCTAAGGGAGGGTTTCAGGTTCTGGGGAAACAGGAGGCGGGAATGGAGGAGGAAGGCCTCTCTCTCTTGAGTTGGAGGCCTCCAGCTGGGAGGACAGAGCCCCCTCTCCTCTGACCCTGGAGTGTCCCTCCCAGGTAGGCTCCCTCACCTTCTTCTGCAGCCTCTTTTTGGATACTTGGATGTTCAGTATCAGAGTTCAAATCTGAGGACTGTACACCCTTGAGTGGAGGACAGGGTCATTGAGGTCATGCTCACCTCTCCCCATTCCCCCCACCACACCTGACCCCATACCCTGGACATCTGACCCAAGTCAGCTGGTACCAGTCCCACCCCGACTCCAGCATGCTCTGATTCTGGACGGCTCCCAGCTACAGCGCTCACTCACTGTGGATGACCTTGGGCCTGGGCCTGGCCTCCCTGACCCGTTCTCACCTTGAAAAGTGGGAGACCTCCGCCTAGCTCACAGGTTCTCCTGAGGACTCGGTGTCATTACTGTCATCAATGTTCTCACCCTCAGCCCTCCAGGGGGGACAGGCAGGGAGCTCTGCACAGTTCTTTCCTGCCCTGAACTCATGACCACCTTGTGAGGCCTGCAGCAGGGGATGGTCTCCCCCCATGTCACTGCCCAGGAGATGGAGGACAACAGAGGGTCAGTTATGTTCTTAGACTGTCCCAGCCCTGCTGGCTGTGGTCACCATAGACCCTTAGGTCCCTCTCTCATCTGTGATGATTTCAGCACCTGCATCACTGGCACCCCCTTCTCTCTATCTTAGTCATAATTCTTAGTTCAGTACCACGTAATGACCTTCCAACACTACAGATTCTAAGCTCTCAGACCTCTTGTCCTCCATGCAGTGTGGGAGCAGCATGATGGAAATATAAGAGCCAAGCAGGGTGCTGGGGGCTCGGGTGGTGCTTATAGGAGAGCCAACTCAAATGCCCTAACTCTCAAGGGAAGCACAAGCAATTGTAGTTTCCTGGGAAAAACAGATGATGCCTGGGAGAGACCCATTCAGTGTGTGGGACCACGAACTGGGCAGACAGGTGGATGGCTCCGTTGCAGGTCAGGCGGCCCATTTAGAATTTGGAATTAAACACAGTGTGCACTGCCCTTGTATAACTCAGGGCCAGGTAAACAGGGATACCTGCTGCCTACAGTTTGTTACAGGAAGAGGACACACTGGAGCCACAGCAGTGAAGTAAGAATAGGCCCCACAATGAAAGGTTAATTCACGGTAAAGGGTCCAGAGAGGCCAGGGGCTGCGTGCTTTGTCCTCCCTTCTGTGAGGAATGAGGCTGGATACACTTTCTCCCTCAGATCAGGAGCCACCAAGAGCACTATGGAACCAGAGCCCAAACTAGGGGCTGAGCTGGTATGTTTACATTTTGCTGGTCATCTATGCATATCCCAAAGCAGCCTCAACTATCACCTCGATCCCACAAACCTTCATATCATCCTACACAACATCACCTCCTCACCATTTGTCTCTCTCTGTTTTACCTTTAGTTCAGAGCACCCAGCACATCCTGACTTCAGGTTATGCATGTGCCAGCTGGTTTGACTCTTTCACGCAAACATGCCATATGACAAGCTCTTTGGGTTGAGCGCTGCACTTCTAGTGCCTGACCCACAGGAAGCGCTCAATACATACCTGATAAAGGAACCAGGGAATGAATTCCTCTTAACCCAATCTACAAATCTGATGAAATCCCAAACAAAATTCCAAGGGAATTTGATCATATAATTCAAAATGGACACATACTAAAATTTAAAATGTGTATTTTTGAAACAAATTTTATTTGCAGGAATTGATTCAAAATAAATGTTCAGAGGTATCTAGACAGCAATGATCATCAAAGAATTATTTATAAAGTAGAAAACAAAATCATTTTAAGTCCATTAACTACAGCCAAATTATACAATTTATGACGAAGCAGGAGAAAAGATACTAGAAGATATTATTTTTCAGAAATAACTAATATTATTAAAACTTACAAAACATAAACATAACAAAAATTACTAATAGCTATGGGTAAAGGTATATTTACATGTATT